GGCAAAAGAGATGAACAGACAATTCACAAGAGGCCTGAGAGATTAAAATATACATAAAGAAGGTACTGGCTCAGAAAGATGAAAATTAAGTAAGATACTATTTCTCTGTTGTGGGAGGCCATCCTCGCACGTGAATTGAGTCACCTCCCTGGCTGGGTGAGAGGCGCTTAGACACAGCTGTAGTAGAGCCTTCCCCACCCTTCTCCAGGTCCGAGGGCTTGTCCGTGCAGAGGCATGTCTGGCCACTGACCTGAAGACCCAATCGTTGCCCCTGACCTTGGGATGCTGCCCCCCTTAACCTTCATTGGATGGGATTTTCCCTGGAATTTTTTGTTCCCCAATAAAAGCCCACTCCCTGGCGTGCTCTCCCTCTCTCACTAGCCTCTTCTGTAAACCTCGCCACCACATTAGGTGGCTGGAGGCGGGAGCCAGGAGAAGCCATCCCGGAACAGGTATTAAAGGTAATGAGAATCTTGTCTCTTTAAATTTAAAACTCCCTAGCAATTACTTATGAATTGATACTTCTTTCATGAAGTCAGCGCTAGTCGCGTGGCACACTCTGTCAAAACAGAAAAGGACTATAATCCAAATTTTGTGTAGTACATTGGGAAAATTCTACAAAACACTATGCAACAAACGGGGTGTATAGCCAATAATGGATAAGTCTCAAAACTATAGTGTTAAAAGGAGAAGCGGGGGGAAAGTCAATTTATACAAAAAGCATACAAAGATCAAGTTTACAGAATATATACAGGTTTTAAGGAAATCAGACACACTAGTGAGTGCCTACAATGGAGAGACGGAGGACAGGGATTAGGGAAGAAGGAAACTAGAAGAAAGGACTGTAAAGAAACCTAAGATGACAACATGTTCAAAGCTAAAAAGGCTAAGTAATACAATTTTCTGAAGTCCACAAAAACAATAAACACCCATGTGGCCTAAGAGCAGGACAAGGAAAGGAGGCCTATGGCCCAGTCACCAGAACCCAGGGACCCAGAACCTTCAATGAGCCGAGGCTGGACCCTAGGCTAGGTACGTGCACACTGTGCAGACCTACAATTTCTGCTGCTTCTTTGCTTTCCCGGAGTTCTTCAGCAAGTTCTTTTTTAAAAGAACATCTCTATCTCAGGAACGCAAAGCAAAAAGCTGTCTCTCGGTTCCAAGCAAGGTAATGGGAGAAGAAAAGGGCCCCTGTGTGCCAAGAAGGGTGGTGGCAGCACATGAGATCCAAAGACCCTAGTCGGGGCGGAAGGCAAAGGCGTCGAAGAAGGGCCGTTCCTCCCCCGACCCGTCTTTTAATAGGTGCATTCTAGTTGTACCTAATGATGGCATCGGTAGTTCCATATTCGTCCATGCAAACAGTATAACAATATAATTTGGCCAATATCACTCCCCAGCACTTGCCCCTCCCTCTCCTAGAAATGACCCTAGGAGGGCCATTTCTGAGACAACCGAACGCATGTAGGAACGTCAGAGGAATGGAGTTGGTGGATCTTTGTTCTACCCCAGGGGACACCAGCTTCATTTGTAAGGACAGAGCAAGGGCTGCCTCCCCTTCTTGAAGTCTGGAGATGATGTGGGAGAAGGGATGGAGGGTAGAATGAATGGTCCCAGGCTCTCTGCTCCTCCCCCACGAAATCCCAACAACAGACCCAGCTGGGACCTGACGGCAGGAGGCAGAGAGAAAGTTTCTTCAGGCATGACTGAAGTTCACATTAGGGAAAAGGGACAGGTGAGGATAGCATGTAAAAATGTACCAGGCTGGGGAAGTGTCTCAGTAATAGAGTTTGCCTAGCAGGAACAAGAGCTTAGATTCGATCCCCAGCACCACCAAAAAAAAAAAAAAGAGTTTACCAAAATATAGACACAAGAACCTTATTTTTGCAGACAAAAAAGCCCCATCTGTTAAGCCTTCAAGATCTATTGATAGAATCGTAGGCAGCCTGCTGTTTCAGATAAGGTTCACATCTTTAGAAGTCACTACCCCACTGTAGTAGGCAAAATGCAAAAATGCTCTCCGGAGTTCCACTCCCTCATTATTCAATCATCTCAGTATTTTTTTTTTCAAGAATGGAGGTTAAATCCAGGAGCACTCTACCACAGAACTACATCCCCAACTCTTTTATTTTTTATTTTGATAGGGTGGTACCACGTTGCCCAGGCTGGCCTCAAACTTTGATCCTCCTGCCTTAGCCTCCTGAGTCACTGGATTACAGGCAGGCATCACCACACCCCGCTTAACCTCAGAACATTTTGCAGATGTAATTCAAGGGCCAAGTTTGCTAACTTTAAAATAAGATTATCCTGTTCCGCCTGATCTTATCACATGAGTTCTTCAGAAGCGGTTTTCTCCCACTGGTGGCAAAAGAAGTCCGAGACTCCTCCCACTGGAAAAGCCAACTGTCATGCTGCCCGTAGGGTGGCAGGACAAGGAGGTGATTCTGCCAAAGTCAGTGAGCACTGGGTGGAGTGGTACATGCATGTAATTCCAGCTACTCGGGATGCCGAGGCAGGAGGATCACAAGTTCCAGGCCACCTTGGGAAACTTAGAGAGATCCTGTCTCAAAATAAAAATTAAAAAGGGCTTGGGATGAAGTGCAGTGGCAGAGTGTCCCTGGGTGCTGCCCTGGTACTACCAAGAAAAGAAAAGTCAGTGAGCTTGGAGGAGAAGCCTAGGCTCAGGGTGAGGTTTGATTTCAGCCTTGAGACCTAAGAAGATGGTCCAGCAAGCCTGAACCTGACGCACGGAACAAGAGATGATAAACAGGCTGCTTTTAGTTGCTAGTTTATGGTAACCTGTTAGAGCAGCACTAAGGACAAACATACCCCTATATCATCACTGCTCACCTATTTCAAATAGTCATAGAAGTCCCTCGGGCTTCCTCTCCTCAGCTTACCCCATGGTCAACACCACCCTTCACCCCACCCCACCCCTCTTCTCCCCCAGGGACCCACCTGGCCCTGCGCTTGCGCACCCTGCGCTCATGTTCAGCTTCTTCGTAGTAGTACTCATTGTGGCTGTTGTCCCGCCGCCGGGCCGCCGCTGCGATCGCAGCCCGAGACTGGCCTGTGGAGTTGTTGGTGCTGTTTTCTGCACAGGATCAGGACAGAGACGACGGTCACATCAGAGTGTGGCCTCTTTCCCCACTCCAGGAGCTCTGGAGACGCAGCCCGTTGTGTTTGGAGGAAGCTCTTCCCCCCACCCAGCAATACCACCCATTTCCTCTGGAGAGGCTGGGGAAAAGCAACCAGGAAGGCACCGGAAGGGCAGAAGTCCTGCCCATGTGCGACCTGGGCTCAGGTGAGCCAAAGGGCTGAGACCAGAGCCGATAAGCAGACACAGGGGAGGCAGATTGGGGAGACACACCGTAGCATAAAGCGGGAGCAAGTAGAATCAGCAACTAGGACCAGCCACCTGAAGTCAAGGAAAATGACAGGACAGAAGGGGCTGGGACATGGGCTGGAGAAAGGAAAAGGGAAGGAGAAAGGCGTGAGAGAGAGAGAGAGAGAGAGAGAGAGGAAGCCACGTGGAGTCCTGCTTAGAAGAGGCCGGGAGGGGCGGAGGAGCAGGGCTGCTCACCCTCTCCGAGAGAATACACCTTGAAGCCAGACACTTTCTTGGCCAGGACGGACTTGGGCAGGTTGAGGAGGGCAGGGTTGTAGACAGGGAAGTCATGGTAATACTTCTCCAGGATCCACACTGCCACGCGCTGGATGCTGTGGGGGAGAGGGCAGGGCGGGGAGGGAGAAGGGGCAGACAGGGGTACAGGGAAAGGCACACATCAGGGCAGGTTGGCAGGGCAGGAGGGGACACGACGGAGACAAGCTGCTTCCAGGAAGCCTGGCTCAAGCCTGACGTCTACTTACCAGGCTCCCAACCATTCCCAGAGCTGGGTCACTCGCTCCTCCCTGCCATGCTGAAGCTTGGGGGAGAAAGGGCGCTGGGCCTGAGTTCCCAGCGAAGGGTGCCCTCGGCTTCCTCCTGCATCTTCCCAAGGAGGTTCTGACACTCTACTGCCTAGGGGCACGGGGAGCACCCTACCAATAAATCCGGTGGGAGATGACTTATCCTCCCACTTAACCTCCATCTCTCTTCCTCTTCTTGTGCCTCTAGGAAAGGTGATGTTCATGCCCCAGGGGATGTGCCCTGCATGGATCCTCCCCTAAGATTCCTCAACTCCCATTGCCTGATTGGTCCCAACTCAGTGACTATCCCTGGCACCTTGCCTACAGCACTGCACATGACCTTCCCATTCAGCAACAAACATGTTGAAAACCTACTACGCGCAAGAGTACTCAACACCTTCCACCTAGCCCTGCCAACCCATCACTTCTGGCCTCCCCACCACCACCCCTGAAACCCTCTCCTTCCGCACCCTCCTTCCTCCGTGTGCACGTCTCGCCTACTCCCAAGCACTCGTACCTGAGATGGCCAACGTTGTAGAAGCGGCTGGCCCCATCGGTGGAGCGCACGACCTTGAGCGTGAACTGGGGCTGGAGCTGCCGCAGCTCCAGCAGGACCACGGCTAAGTAGTGCACGAAGAGCAGGGCGTCCACCAGGGACACCGCGAACTGCACCACGCCCTGGTAGCTGCGCTCCCGGGCATCCAGGATGCGCACGCCGTAGAAGAGCCAGTAGGAGACCACGAGCAGGAAGACGAGCACCATGAGCAGGGCGCGCAGCACGAAGACCCGGGGCAGCGAGGCCTTGGGCCGGCGGAAGAACAGAGCCCAGCTGCCCAGCAGCAGGATGAGCAGCTTGAAGGCCACTGAAATGAAGAGGCCCTCGCAGGCCGTCCCGCACGGCTCCAGCTCATCCCGCCACAGCAGTGGGGGTAGCAGCAGGAAAGCCAGCGGGGTGAGGAAGGAGAGCAGCGCCAGCGTGGCCCCTGCAGCCACACCCAGGTGACGGGAGCAGTCCAGTGGAACACTGTCCTCCATGTCCTTGGCGATTCGTGTGAGGTCATCGTGGGAGATGCTGTGCTCAGAGGTACCCGTGACTACCGTGGTGGTTTCTCCCCAGTTGTCGTCCTGTAGACAGGAGCGGGCAGCACGAGGTGGATTGAAGGACAGGGAGAGGAGGTGGAGAAGGGAAAAGAGGAGACAGAGCAGAGTCAGCAACACATGGGAAAGGAGAGGCAGAAAGAAGAGAGGGAAACTGATAAGGATGCAACTGTCATCTGGGCAGGGACACCCATGATCCCAGATACTCGGGAGGCTGAGGCAGGAGGGTAGCAAGTAAAAGGCCAGTCCAGGAAATTTAGTGAGACCCTGACTCAAAAAAATAAAAAGAGCTCTGGATGTAACTCAGTGGCCCCTCGGTTCAATCCCTACAAAGTATTCACTGAGCTCTCCTGTGCAGCCAAGGCTGGCTTCCGCAGACACTGAACTCTAAGGGCTGGGCTCTTGGGGAGCTGTACACCAATCAGTGGGAGAGAAAACACTGTCCATGCAGCAGAGACCCTCAGAGCATGAGGCCCGGGACGAATGTCAAGGGAGCTGCTCAGGCAGAGACATGGATTTAAGGCCAGACTCGCCAAGCAAAACAGTCAGGCTTCCAAGGAATGATGGGACCTGAAGTGATCCCTGGCAGTGGGTGACATGAAAATGTTGGACTGAATTAAATAAAAGTGGGTCTGCGGTTCCCAGCCCCAGCTGTACCCATTAGAATCACCCAGGGAGCTTGGAAAAGATACCAATTAGAGCAGGGTGAAATGTGCTTGTCAACTTTTTTTTTTTTATAAAAAGCTCCCCAGATAATTCTAATGTTCATCGGAGATTGAGAATCTCGGAACTCACTGATCTCTAAGGGTCGGCTCTCAGAATGTGCTCTGTGGACTGGAAGTGTGGACATCACCGGGGAGCTTGTTAGAAATGCAGATCTGCAGGCCTAGCCCACAGCCACTGAAGCAGAACTGGCGTTTAACAAGATCCCCGTGAATCTCTCAAACGTTAAAGTTGTAGAGGTCCCGTCTCTGAGTCCCTTCCAGTTCTGGCAGCTTTCCATACTATGGAGCAGAAGCTGAGGGGGAGCAGGAACCTCCAGGATAGCAAGAGCTGGGGACCCAAGTATAGGAGCAGAGCACAGCATGGCCAAGAAGGTGAGGCCCAGAGCAGCAGGAGGGGCTTGTTAAGATCGATCCAAGCTACAAGCCCTCCTGCAGGCACGGGCAGCGACTGAAGATTTCTGATTAAGACAGTGGCCTGACAAAAGTAGTGCAGAAGATACCAGAGAGAAGAGGGGGGTGGTGAATGACCAGGGCAGAGCATGGAGGGCACGTGCAGACTTGGGGGGGGGGAGTCACTGTAGGTCTCTGTGGAGAAGTTCTGCTGGGCCATCTGAATGCCCATAGCACATGGACTGCCTGATCCTGGAAGCCAGGGGTAGACAGGCTAAGGCCCCCAGATGCCCTTCTAAGTATGCTCTGCTCAAGCTGTTTCTCTGCACTGACTGGAGCCCGTCCCATAGATCAGCAGGATCTTCAGCGCCCACAACCTTCACTCCTGAGACCGCCTGGATCCTGACACCCACGGGATTCAGAACGTAGGATTCCCCTCTGGAGGTGGGGAATGTAGCAGACCAACTGGCAGGCCAGTGGTCAGGGACAATGAGGAATATCCTCTCCCAAGGATGGGGGAAGACTCTGATCTGGACACACTGACTGCTTTCAGCTCAAGGAACTGGGTCTACTCCTGACCCAATGACCCCTAAACATGCTGCCTTCCTTCTCGAGGACCAAGGGCTTGGGAACTCCTCTTCAATAACAAACATGACCCAGATCATGTCTCAGGGTCACTTTAAGAACCCAGGAAGCCAAGTCCTAGGGAGAAGGCACTGGGAAAGAGGGAGAAAGTATATTTTCTTCAGATACTGATCTGCTCCCAAGACCCAGGAATTTCCAATGTCAGCCATAGAGATTTCTTCTAAGGAACAGGGAGCTGGAGTATCCAGCCCTGTAAGATGCTCCCCAGAAGAAAGAACACGAGGAATGAAACCTAAGAAACTGCACCTGTCATCTCAAATCCTGCCCCTGTTGTACGCCAGGGCTGGGTTTCGCCCTCTGTGCTCCCTACAGAGGGGCACAGTAGGCCACCGTGGTTAGGACAAGGGCAAGTGCTCACCCTATCCTGTGGAACTCTCTTCCCTGGCTCATCCACTCAGCCTCACTTCTCCCTCCCGCTTTCGGACCACACCTCCACTCCCCAGGACCTAGGTGATCCTGAGCAGCAAGCTGACACCAGAGGGCGCAAGAGTACAGACACCAGAGGAGTCTGACACCTAAAGGCTCAAGGAAAACCCAAGGTAGCACCCCCTGTCCAGGGCCACCCTCCACCAACACTCTCCTAATCTAGACTCCAACCAGCTTAAGTGGCTGGCATCAGTTCCAAAGGAGCCCAAGAGGCAGTCCCCATCACCCAGCCAGGTCATTCCTGTCTCTCAAGATACAAAAGAGGCCACTGCCTCCAAAGGATTTCCACTCCAGTTTCCTCAATTCTACTGCAACAGTCCTACCTTGGGACACTAAGCCACAGAAGTATAACAAGAGAGCCTTCCTGACTCGGCCTCTGTCTGAAGACACCGGGTTTCTGGTAGAGCCTGCTAGAACCTCTTGTTTCTCCAAGGGGCAACCTGAAAACATGCAGACTGGACCGCTTCATCTCCCTGATGCTCACCCGCTCATCCCCCCGCGTGGACTCATTGTCCAGCAAGGGCTCTCCTGGAGCCTGGATGGTGACCGACTTGTCCCCACGGCTCCCATCTCGGCTCTTCGAGCGGTGTCGGTCCCGGCGGTCCCTACAGCAGGAAGCCAGAGTTACAGGCACAGAAAGTCAAGAGGGTCCGCTTCTTACCAGCACGCCCCCACACTGGCACGTGCCCACCTCTCAATGGCCCCAGCCCTCCCTCCACCACCGAGTCACTCCCGTGCGCATACCCACCTGTGCTTGCGGGAGCTTCGGGAGTGGCCCGACTTGTAGGAGTAGCCCGAGTACTGGGACTCGGTGTCCATGGCGTCGGAACGCCGCGCCTTGTAGCGCTCCAGGGCCGCGGGCTGGGGCCTTTTGGGGGGCCCCACAGCCACCTCCTTCAGCACCGGCTTCTTCAGGCCAAGAGGCACCTTTAGGAAGTCAACCGTCACCCTGAGGGACTCTATTTTGCTGGAAGGGTGGGCTTTTCTCAGAGAAAATCAAGCGGCGCTCCTGAAGAGGGGAACAGCAGGTTAGTGGGTCAGGACGGAGAGCAAGACCATCCCCAAAGGGCAGCCACAGGAAGCTCGGATTAGCCTAGCAATGGCCCAGGATACTCCCCCCCACGTTCCAGCTCCATCCAACAAGCTCAGTTCCTCCTGCCCTGCCTGCCAGGAAGAGCCCCCCACCCGCAACTGTGCCAGGCTCAGGGTTGGGGGGAAATGCCAGCAACAAGGGAGCCGGATGCAGTGGCACTAGTCTGCAACTCAGGAGGCTGACACAGGAGGATTGCAGAGTCAAGGCCGGCCTGTGGAACTTAGCAAGAACCTCAGCAATTTAGCAAGACCCTGTCTCAAAAATAAAAGGCTGGGGATGTGGCTCAGTGGGAGAAAAACCCCTGACTTTAACCCCCAGAACTGAAACAAGAAAACAGAAACAAAAGAAAGGAAAAAGGAACTGGCGTCTACAGAGAGGCTACCCCCGGGCCTCTCCCTCCTCCTTGCCCTGCTCACAATTTCTGAGTGTGTCCACAAGAGACTGTCTACGGCTGCTGCTCTTAGTAGCAGCAGCACCTACTTCAAAGGTACGGTTACTCTCCAGCACAGGCTGAGCGCTCTCCTTGAGTGTGTGTGTGTGTGTGTGTGTGTGTGTGTGTGTGTGTGTATGTGTGTGCTGGGGGGGGAGTCATCACCAGGTACCATGAGGGGTGGGAGTCAAAGACACGTAGAGGGGCTGGGGGTATAGCTCAATGGTACAACACCTGCCCAGCGTGTGTTAGGCCCTAGGTTTGTCTCCGAACCAAAAAAAGAAAAAGGAAAAACAAGTAGAAACCATTTTCCAAAAGCCTAAAGTCCTGGAATAGGCAAGACGTAAGTTTATCTGTCCATTTACGGGCTGAGGGGTAGACTCTCCACCTGCACTGCACCTTCTAACTCTGCAGGAAGGGGCTACCATTCCTCCGCTCTTCCCCAAGTCCTACTCATCATCCTCAATGCACTCGCCAGAGCCCCAGCTACCCCAGCCCCCAATGGTGTCTTTCCTAACTGACCCTAGTTAACAGTCAACCTCCTCCGTGAGCACTTATTTCCTTTCTTCATCCACTGATTCACCAAACCTGTTTTAAGCACCTTCTGTATGCTATATATGAACTATATACTTTGCTAGGCCCGGGATATACAGTGGTCTAACAGAGCCTGAGCTCACGGTCTAGGGATAAGAAGTGCCCTACCCAAGTAAGCAGGTCAACATAAGCCACCATATCAGATATTGGGAGGAAAAGAAGAGAGACAACTACATGGAGCTACTTTAAACCGAGAAGACCCGTCATCCCAGGCTCTCTGGAGGCGAAGGCGGAAGGATCACAAGGTTGAGGCCAGCCTAGGCAACTCAGACCTGTCTCAAAATTAAAATTTTTTAAAGGGTTGGGGGTGTAGTTCAGGGGTAGAGCTCTTGCCCGAGGAGTAAAAGGAGGAAGGGAAAGAGCACAGGGCAGAGGAATCCCGGGTAGGAATCCCGAAGTCAGGGAAGAGCTATGTGCATTTAAAGAACAAAAGAGGCCAATGGAGCCAGAGCGGACCTCAGGAGAGGGTTATGGAGGCCGGACAGCCAAGTGGAGAGCCCAGGTTTACTCTAAGGCAACAGGAAGCTCTGCAGACAGGGACTGGAAAGAGGGAAAAGTAGAAATAGGGAGATCAGTAAGGAGGTACCATGGGAGTGAAGACTGGGCCACGGGTAAAGCACCAAAGAGGGACAAATGTCACGTCTGAGACACAGGCTGGTGATGGAATCCACAGGACCTGAGGAAGGACCGGATGACAGAGAGGGAGAATCAAGAACTCCTGGCCTGAGCACAGGAGAAGACGATCATGCCACAAATCTTGGAGGAAAGAGTAAAAAGCAAGCCAGTCTGGGGAGGAGGGAGGTAAGCTGTTCCCCACATGCAAAGCTCATGGCTGCAAGGCAGCTGAGCAGAAGAGAAGCTGGACTCTGAGGACAGTCTGAGCTAGAGGCACAGACCACGCGCAGAGCCACCAGAAGAAAGAGAGTCCCTCACAGAGAGGACCGCGTAAGGGCCCAGAGAACTCCAAACTGCACATGTGTCCGGAAGAAAAGGGGCTGAGAAGACCAGACCAGAGGAGCTGGAAGAGTGGGGTCTCAGGGAAGCCAAGAACCCAAGAAGGTTTCAAGGGGGGAACAAAGTCAACCAGGTCAAATGCGGCTGAGAAACCAATTAAGAGCTAAAGCGGATTTACTCTGTATAGCTAGCTTTTCTCCAGCTACTCTAGGCCATCAGCAACCTGAAAATGAGAAAGTAACTGATACCATGCAGTAAAGGAATATGCCTGCCCACTGTCAGGGAAACTGTGACTACAAGGAGATAAAGTCAGTGTGAAATCCAGTCATTCATCCTCCTCCCAGAGTTATGTGGAGGTAATCCGGAGGCTAGTGATGCTTGACAATATTCCCATGTCAAAGCCAGTGCGTGACAGGGACATATTTAGGAGACAAAGACATAACACCTCAAGCAAACTCTGAACCTCTCTAAAACCCTTTGCCACAGATAGGGCCCACGTTTATCCCGCTGTCTACAAATTACATGTTGGGCTCCTCTCTCCTGAGAACCCATTCTACCGGTTTAGACGGCTCACCTGCACCACTTTTGATGTGGTTCAGCCCATTCTTTCTAGTCCTCTTAAAAACTGAACTTTGCCAGGAGGCTCAAAGACGATAAGTGGATTGAGGATGGCAAAGTAGAGAGGAAAAGGATTAATAGTTCAGATAGACACTAGACCCCCCACCCTCCATCTATTCACCCTCACTCTGAATACCCTTGTCTGCCAGAGCTCACAGGAAAAAGGGTTTTGCAAAGATTTGGGGTCAAAACCTAACTCTCCCACTGACTAGTTGTGTGATTATGAGCAAGTTACTTAACTTCTCTGTGCTTGGTAGCCTCAGTGGTAAAACAGAGAAGGTAATGGATGACACCTACTTCAGGGCGAGGGGCTGAGGGTGTGGCTCAGTGGTAGAGTGCTCACCTAGCATGCACGAGGCACTGAGATCGATCCTCAGCACCACATAAATGTAAAATAAAGATATTGTGTCCACTTAAAACTAAAAAATAAATATTAAAAAAAAAATTAAAAGACTCACAGGGACAAAATAAGTAGTTTCATAAACTGTGTAGCTAGCAGTCAGTTAAGCAATTTAAAAGCTCTAACTCTGGCCCGGCAGTAGTGCAAGCCAGTAAGACCAATGACTAAGGCAAGAGGATCGAAAGTTCAAGGCCAGCCTGGGCAACTTAGCAAGACACTGTCTCAAAATATAAAATAAAGAGGAGTAGGGATGTAGTTCAATGGTAAAGCAACACTGGGTTCAGTTCCCAGTACAAAAAAAAAAAAAAACACTCAAGCTCCAGGATCACTTCAACTCCAATCCCCAGACACTTTCTCTGAAACCAGGGAAAGGAGTGGTATAAATAAATCTTGCTATTTGTACGACCAAATAAAGAAATCACACACATGCACACACCCCAACCAGAACCGCCACTTCAAACACACCCAGAGGTAAGTTGATGCCACCGTGTTTCCCCTGCAGATAAACTTCAAGCCAGACAAGGGTGCCAGTGCCCTCCCAGCTCTTTGTTCTGAGTCGCTCAGCCTGCAGCTCTCTACCTTCCTCCCCAGCTACTTATTCAAGACCCAACACAAATCCTGCATCCTTAGCCGGCCAACCCAACCAAAAAAACGAACCCAACTTCTGAGACCCTGGCCTGCTGGCCTTTCTGGAGAACTAACCCACTAGAGCATCGGAGAGGCGGGGATAGGATGGGAGGTGAGCAAAGGGAAGGGCAGAGGTTCCCTTTATTTAATCAGTCTCTGGAATCAGAGGTTTGGAGGGTCTCCCGGGTGGGCAATGTTCCCAGGGAAGAGAGTGGGGGAGGGGACCGCTGGATGAGATCAACAAGTGGAAATGTCAGAGGGACTAGAGAGAGAGCTCGGGAGGAGAGAGCGGGAGAGAAGTCCCGACTTGGCGCGGGGTGGGGAGCCGCCCCGGGCTGGGGGTGGGAGGCTGTAAAAAGAAATCCCTCCCCTTGCTTCTCACCTCACCCCCCACTCCCAAGACACAAAATGCGCACTCAGGCCCCGCTCAAGCCAGCCATGGATTATCTGGGGTTAAAAAGAGGCCAGAGAGGAGAGAGCCAAGAGAGCCCAGCACACAAAAAGGAGACCCTTCTCCCTCCAAAGGCCTTTCAGAAATGAAATTAATGGAATGTGTCTCAGTATCATCCCAGGGGAATGGGGGGGGGGCACTGGGGGGAATGTGGGGGCTTTTGTCCCGGCTGCCCAGCTTCTCCCACATTGATCACCATGGCAACCAAAGCCCCCTGTTGCCTAGGTGATGGCAGCTGGGTCCTGGAACCCATACCCAGCATCCAAAGCGAGGGAGGTGATGAAGGTGGGGGAACAGGGACAGAGGGGGAGAGAATGGGGCTTCTCCTCAGGCAGCCCCAGCTTTTGTCTCAACTCTGGGTCGGGTTTCTCTGGGAAACAATTGGAGGCCTCTGGATAAAATGCGCTCAAAACCTGGCAAGAGGCA